TTAAAAAGTTTTCTCATAATGAATGAAAATGTAACAATTTATTATATTGTAACTATAAATCTTAGCTGTTGAAATTTTTGTTTCTGTAGCTGAGTAGTTTAAGATCTCAACACTTAAAAAACTCTCTTGCCTTTTCTGACTCGGCTAATTCCGCACGTATTCGGATTGTGCCCCTCGCGTCGGTTGGGCGGGAGGAGGATAATCGTTGGGTTATTATTATTATTATTATTATTATTATACATTTCATCTGATTTTTTCACTTTACACTATGCAAATCAAGCAACAAGGATTATATCGGGGTAAAACTTTGCGTAAATAATACTTTTAAAGTATGCCACCTTGTGACCAAAAATTGTCTAAATCGAACCAAACTGTTCAAACCCCCAGGTACTTTTACTGAAAATATCAGTCAATCCACAAAGAAATCTTAATCGAGTATAAAATGTTCGGTTACATCCGGACTTAGCCCTTCCTTACTTATTCTCTTTATGTTAGTAGATACGTATTTCTGCAAGAGAACGTTTTCATAAAGTCTAATTTATGTTAAATAACAGCGAATACTATAGAAAATGGTGAACTCCCTGCTCGAAATTTTTCAGCTCCCATTAGCCGTCCAATCGAGCATCACACAAAATTCAATTTGCACCTTCTCGTCCATTGATGTTCTCTGGGTAAACTATAGCATATGGCTGTCATACAAAGTGAACGACCAAACTCAAAGCTTGGTATGGAAAACTTTATTAATTTGCCTAGGTATCTTCACGAAATTTGGCATCGATTATTGTCCAAGGTATCGCTACAATCTCCGAACAAACTGTTCAAATCGGACAACTATCAAGATAAAGCCATTTATATGCCACTTTGCGCTCTAAAGTACCTGTGAAGGGTATTATCGCAATTTAGAATCTGTGCATCTGAGTTTGCACAATTGTTCAGTTGTAAATATGTACCATCAACTGTGAACATCTTTTTGGGGTTTCTTTCCGGCCCATTTTGCAAACCATTTGTTGGGTTACCTAAAGGTGCCTACAGAGTGGACACTGAAATCCGACCCGAGCGTAAAGCAGATTTTGATCAGCGCTGATCCATTTTGCATAGTGAAGAGTGGATGCGAGATTTAGCGCGGATTTAGATGAGTTAAATGGACAGAGACGTTTAACCAACTAAAACGATGGCTTCGTTAGCGACGTTGATTCAGTCTAAAGTAGTATAAAGCAAATGAGATTGGTTGGACGTCCAGCTTTCACATTGCGTGATATTGAAGGCTTGTTAGCGTAACTTGGTGGTATCGGAAATCCTTTGGTTGAGGAATGGCTAGTTTATTGTGAAGATAAGGCCACAGTGGGGCACTGGGACGATCTGCAGAAATTTATTTATGAGAAGAAGCTACTATAGCGCGGTATCAATATCGGAATGGAATCCGGCGTAAGCGCCCAGTTGAGACCTGTCTTGAATATATACATATATAGCCGAATGGAGATAGGTATAACAATAAAGTTAGACGGCACAAGTCTCTTAGAGTATTTTGTTGAGAGTCCCTGACTCTAGCGCAAAGAAAGCAAATTTATATTAGCCTAGTACGATTGCATAACTCAAAACGCAAATTCTCATATTGGACAAAATACGTTAAGAGCATCAATTGGTTCGGACGTCTTGGAAGATACATAGGTCATGTAGCCAATTTTTGACCGTGTCAGCGTCCGTCGGCATAGATGTTGGTGCGATGAGCCGAAACTTTGTATTGCAGACTGTCCGGCAAAGAATGTATAAACTAAACAGGAAAATCCTCGTAATAATGCTTTAGAATTGGGATATGATCTTCATGCTAGGAGAGGTTTAATTATCCAAGAAACGGCAGCAGTTAAAAGGCATAGGCGACGGCATTCTTAACACCATGCCCAGTTTCAGTCTTTAAATAAACATTAACGGGCGTGAATTAGAAATAACCTTTCACTTTGCCCGTCATTGTAAACAACATTCTGAAGCAGGTTGAAAGAACTCAAAGATTCTTGTTTTTTTTCTGTTTTAAATAGCAAAGAAACGTTTACATTGACTTGTCTCATTTAGGGACTGCCCAGTCAAGAAAAATCAACACCATCATAATCAATTATGTACCAAAACACTACAATCGTCAAGATTAAAACTTGTCTAAGAGATGCTGCTCCTATTTACAAAGGACCATGTCGAAAGTCATACGCTACTAGATGCATCGTTGATAAGCAAATCACCGATGCTCAGGAAGGGTAATATCTAACCCAGCACAACAGATTAAGCATCATCTAGTTCCTTCACACAATAAGTAAAGTGATGGACTACGCTCTATGAGTCATGTACAGATGGGCAATATCCGCCAACCTAGAAGTAAATGCCGATAAGACGGATTTGGTACTATTCACAAGGAAGTACAAAATCCCGCTATGGGAGAGCGAGACTCAAAGGGTTTGAAATAACGATTAAGGATCATATCAAGTACCTGGGAGTAATTTTGGGTGGTACACTGGGGCCTATGACCTGCCCTCATGTCATGCCTCCTGTTTAACCCCACAGCGGCAGTCGAGACCATTTTGCTTAACGGCGCACTGATGTGAGGGACCGCTGTCAGCAAAAGCTCTTACAGAAAGACGATGGAGCGGATATAGCGACTCGCTGCTCTCTGCATAATGGAATCGCTAAGAAGCACTCCAACGGCTGCACGATAAAGGTTACTCAACCTACCACCAGTCGAAATTGCATTAGAAAGTTCTGCAGCAAAATCAGCTGCAAGATTGGCGGCGCTAGGTGAGTTCTCCACATTACAGGTGAAGGTGGATAAAATAGCTTCTTGAATACTGCAGTATTTTCCAGACGGAAGTATATGCGGTCAGGAAATCGGCTGAGATAGCCACCAAGGCAGGTAACAACATAAAGAAAATTAATATATATGTACGTCGATAACCAGGCAGCAATTCAGGCAATAATCTTACATCGCATTGTGTCAGACAATGTCCTTAAAAGCAGGGAGGCAGTAAATGTTGTGGCTGCCAGTAAGCGGCTGTATATATACCGGGTTCTGGGTCACAAATGAATTCCGAAAAACGAAATAGCTGATGAGGTTGCCAAAAGTGCCATCCGCTTGGCTACCGAACTTGAACAAGAAATACGGAAGTCACTAAAAACGGTATTCAATGAAATTTCCGCAAGAACTGACAGACAGGTCAAGGCGAGATGGAATGGCTTAAGAACATGCAGGATCGCCAAGATCATGTACAAGGCAGCGGAAATAAAACAGACAGGCTTTTTACTCCCACGATCTCGAAACGACTGCAAGACGGTTGTTGGTCTAATGACAGGTCACAACCTACTGGCATCACATGCGAGGCGGATAGGTATAAGTAACACGATACATATAAGAAGTGCACGGAAGAAGGCATGAGAGACACTTCTTATGCTTCTGTCCAGTATTATATAGTACTCGCCTTAAATATCTAAGAGCTTCGCAGTTCAAGGGACTAGATGAAGTATCAAAACTAGATCTCAAGTCTCTCTTAAAGTTCGCAAAAACCGTTGACATCCTATATGACGCATACTTTAACTCAAATTAAACTGTACCTCCATCTGGCATTACTAAGGACCAGTAGGTCTATGTATGGCAGACATCCGGCCAGTATAACCTAACCTAACCTAATTACATGGAAAACTTAAAAATTTGAAAAAGTTAAGCACCCCAGTAACAAACTACCTAACTTGCAACGCAATTTGACTAAGCATCAGTGAATATATCGAAGTAAAAATCTTGTTCTGGGAACTCTCATCAAATGTTCCAAATCGAAGTAAACCATATAAGGCCCTCATACAAAAAACATAAGGCTAAATGTTTACCGAAAATATCAGTCAGTTTCTAAGATATAATGAAGTGAAGGACACATATTTTCCAGTGAATTACCGCAGCCCCCTATACTACATATACATATGTATGTTATGATTTTTGTACATAGTTTACTTTCTGGAATATATCGTTCAATATGTGAGTTATCTTAAAAGGTACTTGGAAATATATTCTTAAGTACGCTCTTTATATTAATGCTAAAAGTAATTGGAATTAGTCGAAACCTACAGTTAGGCGGAATATACGAAATCTAGTAATTTCAGTTTGATCCATATTTATCAATATCTCAATATATTTTTAGTAAAAGAAGCGATAGATGACATAAAAAGGCATTTTATTTTCCAAATGAGTAATTGTGTGCACGTAACATACTCGTATACGACCAATTTGTATACATACCGACTGCCAAAAAGAGCGAAACATTCCAACAAGTCACAACCACCGAAACTCTAATACATTGAAAGAATAAGCGCGGAAACTAACGCATACAGATCGTGCAACTCACAAAGCCTTTGCGTAAGAAGGGGATGAACCATCACACGTACACAAGAGTTTCGGTTAGAATTGTCAACTGGGCTTTATAAAATTCATATTATCCCCATCGTTTTTATCAAAAAACCTGAATAAATCGGCATAGTACGTTAAAAGTTGAATAAAATTTTTTAAGTTAATAAGCAATTTATTTTATACTTACCAATGGCATATCTACAGACAATGATAATTGGAAGCCAGTTATCAGATGTATTGATATAAGGATTACCACTGGCAATAATTTGTGTAAGCATTTCAAATGTTGAAAATGTGTAAAAAAAAAGAAAACTCTAGTGCCACACTATTGCTTCAAAAAAAGTATGTTTCTCTTTTGCCTATGAAGAAGCGTGGGGGACTCTGTAAAATATTGTGTATACAAAGAACTGCTAACGAAAATTTATGTATTCTATTATTTTAATGAATAAACTACTTTGACTGTCTCTATCAAACTTTCATACATGTTAGCAAAGCACAAGAAAATTGTTACTACCCAATGCTTTTTAGTAATAACGTGAGAAATATTGGTATAACCACATCATCTTTCCAATATTATAATCTTTCAAAAAAGTAAAGAATGAAATATCTAATTTTTAAGTTAGATTACCTGCGGTTCTTGTTTCCATTCGTTATCTGTTGTATCCTCCGAATCATCAAACTGACTTTTCCACTGAGATGCCAAAGTGAGAGCCCCGCCCCCTTTAGTTACTTGTTGCAACGCCGACACGTTTTCGTCATCTATCAAAGCATACTGAGTCATGGAATGATCTCCAGCTACGCCGGATCCATTACTACTGCGTGTTAATGCAATACTACCGAAACGGTGTACTGCTCCACTAGAATTAAACGCTAGCCGCGAACTGGAAGCTATTGATGAACGACACTTTGTGGCTGGCGCAATATAAATATGTTGTTGTATTCCTCCGGTCGGACCTATTTGAGAAGTTCGTTGACTACTAATGTTATGTTGGAGCATAACTGATTTTGAAGGACCCAGAGCGGCATCAAAAGAAAATTGCGTTGCATCATGGACGTGAGAAGACGCACTTTCATTTAATATGAAACATCCGCTGCTCACTGCTAGATCATATACACTCGATGTTCCTAGAAAGCATTGTTATTATTAGTGCTAGAAAATACATCAATCAATCGCTAACCAAACAAAGTTTTTAAAAAAAAAAAAGAAAAAATAATCACAATCGCAGTGTTTATGATAGAGCATTAAATTCTTTGGCAAAAGTTCGGCAACAATAGTAACATCACGAGTTCGTTTAGCAAAATGTTGCCAATAATTTGCGCACCACAAGTTTAAAATTGAGCCGAACTTAATTCCATTTATGTATGGCATCTATATGATATGGTAGTCCGACCCGAAAAATTTCTTCGGATATTGTAGCGTTGCCTTGGACAACAATTTAAGCAAAGAAGCTTTCCTTACCAGAACTTGATTTTGATCGTTTAGTTTATATAACAGCTACATGCTATAGTGGTCCGATCCGACAAATGAAGATTCTTTGGGAGAATCTAAAAAATTTAGGCAATGTTCGCGTATATACAGACGGACATGGCTTAATCAACTCAGCTAGTCAGGCTGATCATTTATAAGAGGTGTGTTCAAAGGAAAAGATGAATTTTTTTTTTAACTACTTATTTGCTCATCAATATCTAATTCGTCCCCTTCAAAGTAATTCCTCTCGGATATAATACACTTGCGCCAACGCTTTTTCCAATCCTCGAAGCACTTCTGAAATGCGCTTTTCTGTATGGCCTTCAGCTTTTACTTCGATTCATCAGTTTTGTGAATAAGAAACCATATACCCACGTTTCGTCACCAGTTACAATGCGACATTGCTTTTGCCTAAAATTTAACAATTTCAGAACAAACTTCGCTCCCACACGTTGCATGCCCAAAACATTCGAGAAAATTGAACGGCATAAGCCGATTGATATGCCAACATCCTCTGCGATTTCCTTAATAGTGATTCCACGATTTTCAGGAACAATTTGTTTCACTGTTTCGATGTTTTCTTCGCTTGTTGACATGGTCGCATCTCCAGGATGCTCATCGTCGTCAACATATTTTCGGCCTTCTGTAAAGCGCTTTTGCCACTTATAAACACTTTTTTGAGACAAAGTGAACTCAATGAATGTTACAGTCAACATTTTAAGTACCTTGGAGTCCTTTATTATATTTTTATCGCCAAATTTAATACATCCACTTCTTTTAAAAGTCAAAAACCGAAGAGTACATAAAAACGCGACTAACCTTTTTTGTTGTCAAAAACAAACTACTAATCGAAATTGGTTGTACATAGCCCGCGAAAAATCAAAATCTACCTTTTCTTTTGAACACACCTCGTATATATACTTCATAGGCTCTCCGACGTTTCCTTCTGGGTGTTACAAACGTCGTGGTAAACTTAATATACCCTGTTCAGGGTAAAAAAGTTATTATTCGGCAAATATTTATTCTACGTTTACCCGAAATCCGATAAGTGCAGAAAATTTGGCGTTTGAACCTGCGACGAAACAAGGTATAATTCTTTGCACTATTATTTAAAATGAACATGAAAATTCATTTCTAGGTTAAGAAATAAAAGTGGTGAAATTATTTCAAACCTAAACACTTTCAAAAGCTAAAAAATAATAATACAAAGTATAATAACTCTAATAGTGGGCTGTCAATCAATTATTTGAAAAATGCAAATACCTTTTAAATAAGGTTCTAAGTTAGTACAAAAAGCTAATGTTCAAATATCTTTGAACATGCTTATCATTGACCTATGCCAGTAAGGCAGTCGTGCAGTTAAATAGAAAGAATATTAAAATAAAATAGAAAACGGGTAAATAAACTATTTTATATATAATTTCTAACTATTTTAATCAGTTATTTCGTACAAATACATAGAAAGAGGACAATTTATTGCGCTCGTGGAGTTAAATGGCTAAAGTAAAATTAAAATTAATTACAAACCATAGTTATCATAGGTTGTTCCGCCCGCTAAAAGTAAAAATATTTAAACCGCGTTTTTGATAACTACCAACAACGGGAAACGGAGAGTTTGTGGTAATACTGCTTCATATCATTTAGTAAAATGTTCCTTAAAATTTTTGTCATTGTAATAAAAGTAAATAAAACAAGTAAGGAAGGGCTAAGTTCGGATGTAACCCAAAATTTTATACTCTCGCAAAGTCAAATGGTATACTCGTTTTAGATTTTTTTGTGGATCTTGCCGCCTTGTTCTATGTTGACCGATATATTCGGTAAAACGTCAGCTATAGGCACTGGGGTCCACATATTCAGTATCTAGGGGCTTGAACAGTTTTGATTCGATTTAGACAATTTTTGGTCACAAGGTGGCATACTTCAAATGTATTATTCACGCAAAGTTTTACCCCGAAAAAATCAGATGGAATTTAAAATGGTGTTATATGGGAAATAGGCGTATTACAACCACGCCGATTTCGCTCATTTTCGCGCTATAGCATAGAAATATGAGAAGAATATTATGTACCGAATTTGGATGAAATCGGTTAAGCAGATCGTAAGATATGGGTTTTCACCTAAATGTGGGCGGTGCCACGCCCATTTTCTAATTTCGAGCGCTCAAAGTCAGCTCATACGATCCCTGTGTTAAAATTTAATGACTCTGGCGTGTTTAGTGCTTGATTTATCGCGCTTTTAGTAGTTTTTAACAGTACCGTTATATGGAGAGTGGGAAGAGAGAATCGGGTGACAACCCCGGATTTCACCCATTTTCACACTATAGACACAATTTTGTTATTATAGCATTAGCGGTTTAGGAGATATGCACATTAAACCTATTAGGGGCGGGACCGCGCCCACTTTAAAAAAAACTTTTTACTGCAGCTGTCCCTCCCTAATGTGATCCTTTGTACCAAATACCAGCCTTGTATCTTATTGTGGAGCTTAGTTATGACACTTTATTTGTTTTTAATTAATGGCGTTTTGTGGGCGTGGCAGTGGTCCGATTACGCCCATCTGCAATACCAACCGTCTTACGGTATCAAGAAACATTTGTACTAAGTTTCATAAAGATATCTCAATTTTTACTCAAGTTACAGCTTGCACTCGTTACAGCTTGCACTCGTCTCTTCATCCTGATCATTTATATATATAATATATAACCCTACAAGTATATCTAACTCAATTAGTTTTAGGTGATACAAACAACCGTTAGATGAACAAAACTATTATACTCTGTAGCAACATGTTGCGAGAGTATAAAAAATGTCATTTTATTAATTGTTCTCATTTTAGTGAGCAAAAACAGAGTTGAATTGTTTTTCATTCAAAATGGTGGTTGAACTGAAGTTGAATTGCTTCATTTTTAATTGGGTTAAATTCTAGTCTCTGAACAGGACCGTCTATATCTTTACTGGAGTTGTAGATGAACCAGGTTTTTCAGAAGAAAGCATTTGCGTGTTTGGATTGTTAACCTGAAACAGCTTATATTTAATAGTAAATATACTTCGCAAGTCAAAATACAAGGTGCGTTCCAAAGTAAACAGTAAAAAAGTAACAAAGTAAACTCTAGTGGTGCCTTCTATATGTCGCCTGGTGCGTTAAAATCTGCTATCCTTTATCGACTTCCAGTAAAAATTTCATGACATTTCATCTATTGGAAGTGAAGTTATTGCGTTTTAAGTGTCAGTATGTTTTCGTCATCGGTGCGAAAATGAGCTTCGAACAAAGAGCCAACATTAAATTTTGTTTTAAAATTGGTAAAACTTTTACCGAAACGTTTCAATTGATGAAACAATCTGATGGCGATGATTGCCTATCCTGTAGCAGAGTGCACGAGTGGTTTCAACGTTTTCAAAGTGGTCGTGACGACATAAATGACAAATGAGCCGAAACCCAAAAAATCGAGAAGTCAAAAGTGAAGACAATGCTGATTTGTTTTTATGATTCCAAGGGTATTGTCCACAAAGAATTTTTTCCACCCGGCCAAAACGTTAATGCGGTATTTTACCTTGGAGTTTTGAAGCGTTTAGTGCGCCGTATTCGACGTGTTCGGCCCGAATATCGCGAAGATGGAAGTTGGCGTTTGTTGCACGATAATGCGCCGTCTTATCGATCGACGCTTGTGGCCGATTATTTGACCAAAAATCACATTTTAACAATATACCACTCCCCGTATTCACCTGATATGGCACCGTGCGACTTCTACCTTTTCGGAAAAATGCATTTGCCGATGAAAGTAAAGCGTTAGAAACGTTATGCAGACGTGGAGGCCATTCAAAAGGCTTGTACCGGCATACTGGGGCCATACCGGGCAACGAGCTAAAACACTCGTTCGACATGCTTTTGGACCGTGCAAAAGGTGTATTAAAGCAGAAGGAGACTATTTTAAATAAAATTAATTGATTTTGCCGATAAAACCATTTGTTCTGTCTTTTTTAAAGTCTGTTTACTTTGGAACGCACCTTGTATTATTGAACCTCAACCTTTATTATAGAAGATAAAAGTGACAAAATCAGGTAACGGCTCAAAACCAGTAGCCTACATTGTTTTCAAAATTTTTGAGTTTAAATACATTGAACATTTTAAAAGAAAATAAGTAAGTACTATATTTGTATCAGGATGACGAGTTGAAGCATACTTTCGAAAATATAGGGTAATTTTTCATGCAGGATATTGAAGCATAAGCCGGTAACAGAGCTTCCACCAGAACGTCTTGAGAAAAAAAACAATTTGCGGTGTTCACCTAACTCGGCTGGGAATTATCCGAAAAATTAGTCAAATATGATGAACTCTTCCCCCTAACGTTCTCTGATAATTTTTTTCATTTAAGAATTTTTGGCGGCTTCTTTAAAGTGTAAACTGTTATTTTCCACTAAAAATTTCGCCATTTTGGGGGTGGAAAACACCCTTAATGAAAAAAAATTTTTACTAAACGTAGGGGGTGGTATTTTATATGTCGGAAATTTGTATAAAGTTTGAAATGAATCGCTCAAGTAGTTTTGAAATGACAGTGAACACCGACTTTGAAAAAGTAGTTTTGAGAAAAACGCGTCTAAAGTTATGAACTGTTGTTTGAGCGTTAGGCCAGGAGATTGATAAGACAATAACTTTAGGA